AACCGAGCTTCAGTCCGCCACTTCTATTCTTGCCTCGATAGAGTTACCTCTTTTTATTATAATTAGTAATAAGTAATTTTAATATATTTTAACTTTAAAATAAATTTATATCTAAATAATTTTAGTTTTCTTTTAAGTCTTAAGGCTGCGACTTACGTAATTCGTGTTAAGACCCAGTTAACAATATAAATGTTGTACATCATCATTACATAGTATAAAACAAAGTCGCTGTCGCTGTCTGCTCGTCTCTATGTATGCTTAAATCTTTAAAACTACGCAACGGATTTTGAAGCTTTTTTTTTATAGATAGAATGATTCAAGAGGAAGGTTTATATGTATAATACATGTACACCCGTGCGAAGCCGGGGTGGGTAGATAGTATAATATAAAAAAAATAAAAATATTAGTATTTTTTTTGTAATGGATGAAAAGGAAATTAAAAAAGCACGAGAGCGATTTTAAAATTGATTTACCTATAAAAGCTTTATTATTACAGAGTACCATGAACATATATACATATATATATAGAACATAGATATATTTCACGGTATCCAGCTGGTTGTTAATATATGTAGTTAATAACCTTAGACAATTCCTAGGCAACACAGCGCCATCTAGTACCAAGCTAAGCAGAGTTGTGTGTTATGGGTATGGGACAACTGATAAAATACTCAATTATATTTATTTTGTAAATACATCGATAATATATATAGAAAATACCGAATGCTGATGATGAAACTGAACCGTGCGAGGAATCGAACCCGCGACCATTGGAATAGAAGCCGTGTGCAAAACCGCTAGATCACGGGGGCCATCAAATGGATACAGGCTAGATGATCATGATATTGAGACATATGATATACATATAGTAAACTTATTTTGATGGTAATATAAATAGGTTATTGGAAAACTTGCCTATAGGAGTTGGCTCCAAATCAATCATCACAACCCTGGGTACGACCTTCCCAGCTCCTGTGCTGCTGAAGAAGGCGCCGCTGCTCCCGTCATCATTGGAGAAGGCCAGGATACCATCAGGTCGTACGCCATGCTCGAGGCAGTAGAGTTCCCAACATGCATTTGCCACCTGCACTCCAGCTTGACCGATGTGGATTTGAATCACTTCTTTCTACAGATATATTAAAAGCTTTCAAAAAGATAAATAAAATCAAATAGTCATCATCATCATTTCAGCTGCTGATGAACAAAGGCCTCCCCCAAAAATCTCCACGACGATCGGTCCCGCGCTGCTCGCATCCAACGCCTTCCAGCGATCTTGACCAGATCGTCGGTCCACCTTGCTGGGGGCCTTCCCACGCTGCGTCTTCTGGTCCACGGTCGCCACTCGAGGACTTTACTGCTCCAACGGCCATCTGTCCTACGAGCTATGTGTCCTTAATCCGATCTAATAAAATCGAAATATATTTATTCATATAGGTTTATTACAGACTTTTATGATATGTCAAAATCTACTCCCAGTTTGGAAAGCATATAGAAATACATTTATTATGGCCTCGGTAGTTTAGTGGTTTAGCACATCGCCTTATCCGACGGTCGCGAGTTCGATTCTTCGTACGGTACAAACATTTGTATTCTTGATTATGATTGCTTGTATCTGTCTGGGTGTTTTCTAAATATGTTAAGTAGATATTTACAAAAAAAAGTGTATTTAAGTAGGTATATCAGTTGTCTAGTACCTATAACACAAGCTCTGCTTAGTTTGTTGTATTTAGTTGGCACACTGTGTTTACTCTCTGGACGACTATTTCAATTATAAATTGTTTGGGAAACTACTCTGCTACCAAAATGTTAGGGAATTTACTATGTGTATATATATAGTGAAAAATGAGTGGAAGCGTCAGTCACGTACCTGTATGGTTCTGCGGATTTCTTGGGCTTCAGGGTCTCGAAGATATCTTCGCTAGCTTTCCAGTTTCACAGTAGGTTTCACAGTTCTAATTTATTTTAATTCACAACACAATGCGCGCGCGTCATGGCCGCCGTACAGTCGGTTCAGTACTAGGTAAGGGAGGGGAAGTAAAAGCGCGGGAACAGAAAACTAACGGACTCTAATATAATAATCTGTGCTTACGATGATACAGGGTAGATTTTGAACATAAATATTATAAATAAAAATAAAGTAATAATAATTGTAATAATGCTAATAATCTATAATTGTAAATATGTAATATTAATCTAATTGTTATAATGTAGATATTAATATATGTAATTATTAGGTTTATTTATAAAATTTGCATGCCTACTGAAAAAAGGCATATTACAGCGCAGCCTACTACTGTCACTTGGGCTTTATTGTTATGTGCATATCTGTCTGTAATACGAATAAATGACTTACTTACTTTGTGACTAGATGGCGCTGTGTATTAACACAAGCGTCCGGGATTATTATTATATGTATTTAAAATGGCAAGTAAGTGGTAGGTGGTAACCGTCGCCTGTATACATGTACAGCACACCGGACAGTCGAGCTGTTATTCTCGTGCTAATCCTCATGTGCTTCCATTCCTAAGGACTAAGGTGTCATGCCTTACCCTGTAACTACCAGATCTCATCCTCCAGTAGAAATAGAAATAATCTTTATACAAATAAACTCAATATAAGCACTTTTGAATAGACATATTTCTTTTATTCAGTGTGTGTGGAAAGTGCCATTTTACCATTTTTTAATACATATGTATTTGTACTAATAATATTTTGTACAATAAAGAATTACAAACAAACAAACAGTTTACATTTTAAGCAGTTGGTTATATTAACGATATTTTTTTTAATAATATACAATTCTTAAAACTCACAATAGCCATTTATAGGTTTTAATATTACTGATAATTTCAGATTGTTGTAAACATTTTTTTATATTTATTTTAATCTACATGTTGTATACAAAATACAAAATTAACTTGAAGATGACATGACACTTGACAATTAAAAAAAATACTAAAAAAGGATGTCAAATTTATGACATTATTATTATTGTTATTGTTTTAAAATCCTTTTCAATTATGTAACAGGCAAAGATCCTTAGACGGTACAGCCTAGTCTACTAGAATAGAATAGAATAGAAAATAATTTATTCAAATAAACTTAATTTAAGCACTTTTGAATAGTCATAACAATTTTTTTTATCTACCGCTCGTTCGGGAAGTACGAGCAAGAAGCTTGCGTGTTGCTCTTTTAAATAATCCTTGTAAGTTTACATTTACAAATCGAAACGTGTGAATACAAACTACCAACCAGCACTCATTTTTTGGATCAAATATAAATATACAATAAGTTTAAATCAGTCGTATATAATATTAAATCAGTCTTACTTCTAAACTTCTTCTATCCAAGAGGCATTAATTTTAAATATGCCATCTCATCATCATCTGCTTCATCCTTATCCCATTTATTTGGGGTCGGCGTAATATGTTTTTCGCTTCCATTCATCCCTGTTCGCAGTCATCGCGTTATTTACTTCCTTTCTTACCATATCATCTTTCACGCAGTCCATCCATCTCTTTTTTGGCCTTCCTCTGCCCTTATAACCATCCACATTCATTTGTAACATCTTTCTTAAAATATTATCCTCGTTCCTACGCATTACATGTCTATATTATGATAGACGATTACTCTTCAACCTCTCTGACACCGGTGCCACTTTCATACTTCCTCTAATGTATTCATTCTTTATCTTATCCATTCTTGTCACACCACATCCACCTCAACATTCTCATTTCAGTTGCATGCAGTCATCTTTCATCCGTCGCCTTTACGGGCCAGCACTCTGATCCATACACGACAGCAGGCCGGATCATGGTCTTGTAAATTTTCCCCTTAAGCTGAAGGGGAACACGCGAGTCACACGTCGTTGTAACCTGTTCATCCATCCTGCGTTAATTCTATGCTTTATCCTCTGTCTAATTCACCATTGCTTTGGAGGAGAACGTGATGAAATCGGAGCAAATCGGTAATGGAGCACCATTTAGTGATATGGCTGCAGAGCCGGAAAGACCGCCAAAATCACAAAACATGTATTCCATTTTGGAAACACTAATTTTTAAGCCCCCGCTTTCCAGTTAAGCCCCCGCTTTCCTTTAAATATGCCATCTACTATTGTTAATTAATATATTAATTGACGTCCTAGGTGGTCTAGTGGATTAACACACTGCTTTACTTCCAGTGGTCATGAGTTCCATTCCTCCCACAGTATAAATATTTGTATTCGTGAGTATGATTGTTCGTATTGCTCTAGTAGTTTTCTATATATGTTATTTACGTATGTATTTACAAGAAAAACGTGTCTAAGTACGTATATCATAACAAAAGATCAACTTAGATTGGAATTAGATGACGCTGTGTGAATTGTCCTGGGATATTTTTATTATTATTGTATTTTTTTTATGATAACATGATGTTATTTAAATACTGTATTTATTACTAGCTGTTCCCGCGACTTCGTCCGCGTGGAATTTAACTTTATTTTTCTAACATAAAAGTAACTTAGGCTACTAAGTTACTTCTTATTACATCAGGCTGTCAAAAAAGTGCCATCAAAATCGGTCCAGCGATTTCAGAGATTAGCCGGAAAAAACAAACCGACAAAAAGTGTTAAAAATATTATTTTGGTGCAAGTACCATATTTATATTCGTATGCATGTAGTAAAAAACGGTTATTTCAATATTACAAACAGACACTCCAATTTCATTTATATGTATAGATTATAATTCTTATCATTGTCAATAGATGTGATAGGTACAAATAAACATGCGGTAGAGGACGCTGGCAACACTGATCTTTTAATAAAATTTGTTTAAAAAAAAACATACGCAAACACACACTTGCCTCTACATAGATATGGTTGATGTACTCATATTTCAAGGTCGCAAAAACAGTATAGTCAATGCAAAGATATATCATATTATATAAATATATTTTGATAACAACACGTCTATCAGTTTCATTGAAGTGTGTAATAACAAAACGTCAAGTCTGTAGTAAAATGGATTTTTCCGGTAAAGTTGTTGTACTTACTGGCGCCAGTTCTGGCATTGGTGCTTCAACAGCCGTTTACTTGGCTAAACTAAACGCGAAACTCACGCTTGTTGGCAGAAACGTAGCTAATTTGAAGAAAGTCAGAAGTGAATGTGAGAAATACACAGACACCCTTTCAGTGGTCGCAGATTTGACCAAGGGTGCTGATATTGAGAACATCATAAGGACCACAATCGATCGGTATGGACAAATCGATGTCTTGGTTAACAACGCAGGAATTTTGGAGATGGGAACTATTGAAAACACCTCTCTTGAACAATGTGATAGGATAATGAACACCAATGTGCGTTCAATATATCATTTAACAATGCTGGCAACACCACACATTGTCAAGACTAAAGGTAATATTGTCACTGTATCAAGTGTGAACGGATTAAGATCATTTCCAGGTGTTCTCGCTTACAATGTGTCTAAAGCAGCTGTTGATCAGTTTACGAGATGCGTATCATTAGAGCTTGCACCTAAAGGTGTAAGGGTCAATAATGTTAACCCTGGAGTGGTTGTGAGTGAACTGCAGAAGCGTGGAGGCTTGTCCGAGGAGCAGTATGAGGCTTTTTTGGTGAGAAGTAAAGAAACTCATGCTCTAGGAAGACCTGGACAACCAGATGAAGTGGCAGCAGCGATTGCGTTCCTTGCCAGTGATTTAGCGAGCAACATTACCGGTGTCAGTCTACCTGTTGACGGCGGAAGACATGCCATGTGTCCACGATAATTCTTTAGTACGTGCATGACTTACTTCTCTAATAAGTGTTAATACTTAAGTAATTAAATAGATTTTGTATTAAGGTTTCATTTAATAAATAAAATAGATTAATTGTTATTGTAACGTTTATTTTAGACATAATTGAGGTAATCTATAAATAATTTAATACTAAATCAGTCCCTAATCTAAATCTTACACTAATTATCACAATTACCATCAAACTCAACTAAACAACGTAATAACTTAATGAATGTAATGAAGCCTTCAAACAAATTACCAATAACGAATATAACAGTTTTATATTAACTATAAACATTATTTACAATGAACAAGACAACCTCGTGAATGTTGTTAATGTAGTTTAAGGAATTCCAATCATGTATGTCAGTGTTGCATAAAGAAATTTCATAATTTTCCCTAATTAACATGGTCTTTAGTAACCCAGCGACATGGTAACAATGCGTTCACACTGTGTTCAAATACCGTTATTGTAATAAACATTAACATGTGAATAACAGGTAATTCGTTATGTTAATGCCATTACAATAACCGTTATTGTGTAACGTTATATAACACCAGGGTTGACAACTTTAAATATTTCTGTATCGTAGAAAGGAGTTCAAAAATATCGTCATTTGACTCTTCAATTATATTTTGACGTCGATTGGTACGATTCGTGAGTTGTAAGAATTACCAACAGCAAGTTCATATTTTATCAAATTAGGTGTTACATTGCGGAAGTCCATTTCATTACTCAATGGATATATATTATTTTGCTTAATTCCGCTACAATTAGCATGTGTGAGACCACAAATATTCAGTGTGGAAACCTGACCACCACTACTAAAAGCGTCATGATCTTCTCTATTAGTGATCAAATGCTGACCGTTATTGGATGTTTTACTTCTTTCTTTCTATATAGCGACACGTATTTCGTCTCTAAACGAGGCTTGATCAGACAATGAATGGAGTATATATTTGATATAGTTTGGAATCTTAGTGTTGACTGTTTGACGACTAGTAGGTGGTAGTCTGGTACGAAATAACATAAATCCATTAAGTAACACAATAGCAAGTGTTAATACTTGCTAAACCACATAAACAGAATTAAAAAATGAACTATCAAATTTACATACAACAAAATATTGCAGAAATCGTGAACAAGTATGGCGTGCTGATGATCAAAGATCTTACTAAGAATCCTACTTACTGATTGATTACTTGATATACTCGGTAGTCGAGCCCACCGCCTTGCTTCTGATGGTCACGAGTTCGATTTCTCGCAGAGTACAATTATTTGTATTCATTAGTATGATTTTTATATAAGTCTGAGCGTTTCCTATATATTTAAATTTATATCATTGTCTAATACCCATAACACAAGCTGAATTTGGAACTAAGTAACGCTGTGTGAATTGTCCTGTATTATTATTGGCAATCCGTCTGGTTATGGTAGCATGAGATCTGCCGCTGGTACATTGGTGAATAGTTTTGTGACTTCGTCGACGCAGGATTTGATGATTTGTTCGAAGGCGACTGGCGCGATGTCTCGTATCACAGGCTCCCAGTTTTCATTAATCACATCGTGGACTGTGTCTCCTGAAATATAATTGTTATTATATTGCTGGAATAAATCTTTTTTAGAGATAAATTTAACCTCCCTTAATTTATTTAGCTTTTCATTTATTAATAAGTTCCTGACGATGACAATTTAAAAAAGTAGAAATTATAGAGTTTTAGGAAACAAATTAGATGCTATAATAATTAATAACCATTGATAATGAGGTATGTAGATATCTGAAAAGATTATGTACTTAAAGATGAAATTGCTTTATTAACAGTATATATTGTTATATATACAATATGATTGTAAAGAGCCAGTGTAACTTAATGTAGTTTCAAGACTTTAGATTTCACATAAACGTCTGTAATTAAACTCACATTAATAAAGATATATAGATTTGTTTTGATTGTGACAGTAAGGTTATGCATATTTTGTGAAATAAAAGAAAATATTTGTCGATGAAAAGATGTTTCAATTAGTCCAGTAAATTGAAAAGACTTAGAATTTATATAGAATGAAGTGTTGAAGTGAATATTTTTAATATAGCAACCAAAATCATGAGCACTAATTGTGTACTGCAAAAATATAAGTAAATATAATTATAAAGATTTAACTGGTTGATCCCAAAGGTTGACTGGGAGATAATGCTACAGCTTAATGCTGTAATCAACCTTTTGTACCATATTTTTTTACTTAATAAAGCGAATAAATAAATTGAACCAACTTGTTATTTGTTAGTAATGTGAAACTAATAAAAATAGAGTTAGTAAATTTATTATATCAATCGGTTCTAGTGTTATCAATGAACCGAATTTGAAATTCATAATTTAATATCCAACCATTCAAGGAGCGAGTAGCAGTTCTCTCGCGGGGATGCCTTGGAAGAATTTATTGACCACTTCAACGCAGCTCTTGATTATTCCCTTAATGGCTGGTGGTGCGATCTCCTGCATTATGATCTCCCAGTTTTCATTTGTGAACCTGTGTGTGGTCTCCGCTGAAATTTGAAATGTAGGACATGTTTGTATGTGGAATGCATGGATTGTATGATATTGACGGTGAATTACATTGATTTCAGTTGTTTCAGTTCAGTACATGGTATGGATTTGTTTGAGAAAGAGTTTGTTCTTGTTTGTATTTGATTAAAATACTGTTCATTAATTGAATTTGTATCAGAATTTATCCTTAAACGACAATATACGTACTTCTATAACTCTATAGAATTATTGCTTCCGAATTATAAAGTTAAAACTATAATCTCAGGTATTTTTTTTGTGTTTAAATTATATGTATCTGTATGTAGTAAAAAACCCGCATCTTAGTTTTTTTTTTTATGAGTAATGGGGGCTGCCTGAAAACCAGCGCTGTATAGGTGCACCTCACTAAGGTTGTGCTTATATCAGCAACAGCTGAGGCAGCTCCTATTGACAACTTCCATGTTATTATTTATTCTTGTTTTGTGTCTTATTGTAAATTGTATTATTTGTGCTATGTTGGCAATAAATCAATTATCTATCATCTATCTATCTATATTTTAAAATTTCTCTGTCAGTATCATTTAAATCTACACCATGTGTACCAAGCTTTAGAAGTGATTCAATATGTCTGCTTAGCTTGGAACTAAATAGCGCTGCGTGAATTGAATTTGTTACTAGAATGTGACTTTATGCGCTCTTCAATTTTTAATTACCATCCATTATTTCTAGGTCTCACAATACTTCAATCAATTAACTGACAGTTACATTTTTAAAATATACGCCATGACACGGAACTATTAAAATCGATGTTGTACTTTGAAGTCCGCAAACTGTGTATAAAACATGTACCCACAAAACAATGTACCGCCGAATTGACAACAGTCTAATTTTGGTTGTTTGCTTAATTGAATACGCGTGTACACTCACCAAGAGCCTTGTTGCCGTTGAATAAGTTGTTGAACTTGAACTGTGCCCGGTCCATGTTGTAGTTGTCCTTGTAGTTGGTGATCAGCCAGTGGCCATCTTTCGTGTCGAAGTCGTACTTGATTATGATGTTCAGGTTTGCTGTAAGTAACATTAATTGTTAACAGCATTCCTTATATATATATCCCGACATTATATGTAATTGACGGCCTCAGTGGTATAGTGGTTTGGCGTATTGCCTTACCTCCGATGGTCGCAGGTTCGATTCTTCGCACGATACAAACGTGCGAATATGATTGTCTGTATTGCTTTAAATGGCGCTGTGCTAATAGTCCAAGGTTATTATTACTTACGGTCTTGGGGATCTATCGGTGCAGCATGCCGAAATACAGGATGTATTGATGTTGATCGCGGTTTCGACAAACATTTGTGTTCATGAGTATGATTGTTGGATGTTTTCTTAGTATTTTATATACGCATTTATAAAAAAATAGGTATGTCTATCAATTGTCTAATACCCATAAGTATTGCTGCCGCGCTTCCGTGAAGCCTTTGAGCAGTGATTGATGAATTCGTTAACGACAGTAATGTATTTATAGAAAAACTTAAAATCCCTAGCACTGACAATATTATCTGATTACACTAATAATGAGTGCGTAGCGATTTCTACTTTGATTATCGCATGCCTCATACTTGTTATACCTACTGTGATTATTATATAAAAAACACTATTAAAAAGAGCAACACACAAGTTTCTTACTCATTTTTCTTGTGATGAATCTGCATTCCGAATGAGTGGTAGAATCAAAATATGATTATCGAAAAGTGCTTGTAATGAGTTTATTTGAATACAGATTATTTCTATTTCTAGATACTATAGAAAGAATACCTGCACCCTAATTTTATTCCGTTCAAACATTCCTCTTAAGAATCATGTTTGAGGTCAACATGACATTGTGCGTACACTGCGTTGCATTCACAAACAACAGGAAGGTAAATAATGCAATACTTATATTCTACTCTGCAACGTAGAACTTACTGATTTTTATCTTGGCTGGCCCTTGACCTCTGATTGGCAGGATGATGACTTGGCCATCAATCTCGTATTGCGCTTTTAGAGTTACGTTTGCCGTGAAGTCAATGGTTGCTTTGCCTTTCGAAGGATTTATTCTGAAAAAAAAAATTATGACTCAAGATTTTTTATTTTGATACATGCGATTATATAAATATTATAGATGTTGTATTGATTACGAATTTTTACAACTTTTTTAGTCCAGGTGGCAAACAAAATACTTATATGCTATAATAATTATTCAATTTAAAATATAGTCATTGAAAAATTGACGGCCTCGGTAGTCTAGCGGTCCAGCCCACCGCTTTACGTCCGATGGTCGCGGGTTCGATTTCTCGCAAGGCACAAACATTATTCATGAGTATGATTGTTAGTATCAGTCTGGGTATTTTCTATGTATGTATTTACGAAAAAAAAATCTATGTATATGTATCAGTTATCTAGTATCCATAACACAAGTTTTAGCTAGCTTAACTTGGGTCTAGATGGCGCTGTGTGAATTGTCCTGAGATTATTATTATAATTATCTTGAGATGATTATTAAAAATAAATAAAAAAGAACGATAATAATATAAAAGTAACAACATATATATATATATATATATATATCTTATATATTAAATTCTCGTGTCACAGTTTTCGTTCCCATACTCCTCCGAAACGGCTTGACCGATTCTCATGAAATTTTGTGAGCGTATTGAATAGGTCTGAGAATCGGCCAACATCTATTTTTCATCCCCCTAAATGTTAGGGGTAGTCCACCCCTAATTTTTTTTTTATTTTAAGGCAAAACAACGTTTGCCGGGACAGCTAGTATATTAATAATATGATGAACGCGAAAATTTGTAAGTATCTTTCACGCAAATACTACTGAACTGAATTTAATGAAACTTTACATATGTATATATCTATATATATATATATATATATATATATATATATATATATATTTAATTTCAATATAAAATATAGCCTATATGTTATTCTGATGCATAACCTATATTACTGCATATATATGTAATTCAAGATTCTTTATACGTGAAACATGCGTGATTACATAAAGAGAAGTTATACATACAGAACGAAATTGTCCGACATGTGTATTTTAGATGGGAGAAATGAATGAATCACTCTATCTATTAAAAAAACCGCTTCAAAATCCGTTGCGTAGTTTTAAAGATTTAAGCATAGATAGGGACGGACAGACAGCGACAGCGACTGTTTTATACTATGTAATGATCAATCAAGACTTACTTGTAAGAATTCAATCTAAAGCCTCTTAATCCAGTAACAACTGTATCACTGAAGACGAGTTTAAGGGCAGGGCTGTTGACCACCACAGTCCCCAAATGGAGGGGGTCCAATGGGGCTATCCCCAACTCGGGGATTCCGTCAGCGAACTGCGGGCCAGCGGATTGGATGACTTTTTCTATGCACTGATCCAATTTGTTGTCTGATGCCGAGCATGGTGAGATGTAGGATGCTGCAATAAATGACAATAATTATATAAACGTACCTAACTAAATATAAGTTAATCTTATTAATATATTAAACGCGAAAGTTTGTGAGTATGGATGGCTGTATGTTACTCTATCACGCAAAAACTACTGAACGAATTTCGATGAAACTTTACAATAATATAGCTTATATATGAGAATAACACAGGCCATAATTTGAACGGATATTATGTAAATTGGGCGAAACAACGATGAATGTAAAGTACCTAAGTGTGATGCAGAAGAAGTTGCCGGGTGAGCTAGTGTTAAATAGTTTAGAAGAGGGTAGAAAGTTAAATTATAAATTAAAAAAAAACTTAAAAACGAAAAAATCAATACACAAGTTCCTTGCTCATTCTTCTTGCGATGAATCTGCGTTCCGAATGAGTGGTAGAATCAAAATATGACTATTCAAAAGGGCTTGTAATGAGTTTATTGCTATAAAGATTATTTCTATTTTGTAATCGGTTATGTTTCAATTAATCCATTCATGAAAATTTTCCTCCCAGGAATCATCACCATCATCATCAGTCCACTGCAGTACTTCTCATACAGTTGGTATTATTTCCTTCCATACTACATAGCATACTCCAATCCACTCCGATCGATCCCCAGTCCAATTCAAACGAGTATCGAGATTACGCCTAAGTCAAGGTTCGAACCCCTAGTGGTGCCCTCAGACTAAAGTCGTATCCGACAGGCGGGAGTTGGCCTTCAGCCGCTCCATAAGTCCTTCTTTTGTTATGGTGTGCCTGCACTCGCCCCCTATCGTCCGGTGAAGCTGTAAAGGCCAGCTGCGGCCAACAGCATTAGAGTAGTCCGAAAAAACTATATAGCTGAGGTATCCAGTATATCTTCTGATGTGTTTATAAAGATAATCGCTGTAAATACCATCAAGTACAAAGTTAAGTATCTATTTGAATAAAAATGATTAAGTACGTTTTCTTAGAAGTTATGATGTTATGTCTATATGTATTTAATAGAACATTGTAAACATACAAAGCTATAAAACCTATCCATAAATGTTGCCTCTTAAATAAATATTGTTTTAATACATAACTGAGCAATGTACGGCAATAACCTGTTCGACTAAGGCTGGATTTCACTCGTAGTATAAACACGTTCAAGGAAACGGAGTTCAGCGTGAACTCGAAAAAAGAACGATGTTAATCTCGTTTTGCTTTAAATGGAATTCACCAGCGTTATACAGATCGCGTTTACCAAAATGAAGTTTAGATTTTCATTCGTTCACAGTGTTACACTCTCATAAAATAATATTTGATGCAATAGGTAATTTAATTAATAATTCTAAGAAATATTTGTTAATCAATCATGTGATAATTGAGATAGAGGACGGAGTTTTTTAATTTTTAATTTAATAAGTACCGTCGACAACAAAATATAAAACAACAACCTTTACCTATAAACCAGTAAAACATTATATTATTGAGAATTTTTTTACACTACTGGCAATTTTCTTTTTACTGTTTGGCTGAAAGGCAATTTCCAGGACCGTAAAATACTTTATAAAAACTCTATATTACATTGTGAAAAATTTGCTTGGTGACTGTTTGACAACTGAAAGCTGCTTTAGACGTTCAGAATTTATAAACCTGTTTAGCGAAATTTGTAGTGTTGAAATGCAAAATGAGCTTTGAACACGTTTAAACGTTTTAATGGCGTTCAATTCGAACTAAACGCGATCAGTTTCTATGGTGAAATCCGACCTAAAATCAATTTGCGGCGCTCGCTCAGAAGGAAGAAAACGTACGTTGGTTGTAACCGTACGTGTATTCGGATGTAATTTGTTACTTCTGTATGATATTTGTTATTAATACATTATTAAAATTATTAAAAAAAAACAATTTGACTATTCAGAAATGCTTATAATTAATTTAATAATAATAATAATCTCAGGACAATCCACACAGCGCCATCTAAACCCAAACTAAGCTAGCTAAATCTTGTGTTATGGGTACTAGACTACTGATACAAATATATAGATACTTTTCTTTGTAAATACATACATATTATACATAGAAAATACCCAGACCGATACAAACAATCATACTCATGAATACAAATGTTTGTGCCGTGCTAGGGATCGAACCCGTGGCCATCTGAAGTAAGGAGGTGTGCTAAACCACTAGAGCACCGAGGCCTTCAATTATTATAAGTACAATAGAACACTATGCATAGATGTGTCTAGTAATAGGCGGGCTTATCGCAAAATACAGTCTAATAACTATACATCTATACATATAGTATAAATAAAATTGAAGTCTGTTTGTTATATTGAAATAACCTTTTTTTACTACATGCATATGAATATAAACGATACATACACCAAAATAACCTTTTTTACAATTTTTGTCTGTCTGTGTGTCCTCGTATGGCTTTACCTTCGATTGTGGCAATTATTGTATATAATATAATATTATATTGTATATAATATTAACACACAAGTTTCTTGCTCGTTCTTCTTGTGATGAGACAGCTTTCCGAACGAGTGGTAGATAAAAAACAAATTGTTATGACTATTCAAAAGTGGTTAAATTAAGTTTATTTGAATAAATGATTTTCTATTCTATTCTATTCTATTGCCTCATTTCTTTTCCGTTCTGCTCATAAAATGAAAAGGATCGACTGCCTTCTTACGATGTACGTAATAGATAGTAAAGCCTAATTGAATACATACCATAACAATTTGGTACATGTCTCACATAAAATAGATTAAGTTTTTATGAATAAACATTATTTCTATATATATTCATAAAAACTTAATGGAACAGAATAGAAAATTCTTTATCTATACATCTATACATATAAGAGTGTCTGTTTGTAATATTGAAATAACCATCTTACTACATGCATATGAATATAAATACGGTACATACACCAAAATAACATTTTTTACAATTTTTGTCTGCCTGTGTGTTTGTTCCGGCTAATTTCTGAAATGGCTGGACCGATTTTGTCGGCACTTTTTTTGGCAGGCAGCTGATGTAATAAGGAGTAACTTAGGCTACTTTTAAATTAGAAAAATAAAAGTTAAATTCCACGCGAACAAAGTCCCAGGTAGGTAAGTTAAGATATAATATTATTTAGTTGTCAGACATTAAAAATCAGAAAATGTTCCATTAAACATAATAAATTGGCCATCATAACGCCATGGTCTGAATAAATAATCATTTAATGAGGAAAATTACTGCACAAACCTCACTAAATGTGGTCAAGGCTGTATTATCTAAGGTTGTAGAGATGTAGTTTATAGTTTATGGTTTACATACACGAAGAGAAATAAGAAAGTAAAAAAAGAAGATCAAAAAAGGTTATAAGCATATCTTATCTATATTGACGACCTCGGTGGCCTAGCGGGTCGGTATACCGCTTTACTTCCAATAGTCGCGGGTTCGATTCCTCGCACGGCACACACATTTGTATTCACGAGTCAATTTCAATTTAAAAAAAAAATTTCCTTTTTTAAAATATCTTTATTCATGTAGGTCTATTACAGACTCTTATGATATGTGAAATCTACCGTCAGTTCGGAATGATTTCGAGATGAGAACTGATAAGATACTCAGCTCGTATTTTTTTTTAATGTTGTATATATTTACAATAAGACAATTTCATTTAAATTCAAATTTGGGAGAATAGAGTGACCACCAGCATATGCTATTGAAAAAAAAAACAAAAAATCTAATCAGTGATCGCAACCTGAACAGACCAATCCCCACAAACATCACCCGATCACGAGTATGACGGATGAGCCAGCCATCATTGCACTCAACCATATTAGCGGGAGCACAGCGACCGGCCCACCACACAGCCACAAGTTTGAACTTTATAGCGAGCATGACTGTTTCAAGTTACTCCACTAAGTCATTTATATTATTTACAGCATACTGTACCAATCACAGTTTACACCCATTATTAGTAAGTTTATCTTATATATAAAATTCTCGTGTCACAGTTTTCGTTGCCATACTCCTCCGAAACGGCTTGACCGATTCTGATGAAATTTTGTGAGCGTATTGAGTAGGTCTTAGAATCGGCCAACATCTATTTTTCATCCCCCTAAATGTTAGGGGTAGTCCACCCCTAAATTTTTTACTTTTTTAGACACAATTTTTAGTTTCTATTTTTTATGATACAACATACAAAAATACATACAATCCTAAATTTTCACCCTTCTATCATCAACCCCTATTTTTTTATAGCGTTATTAATTTATATGGCAAAACAACGTTTGCCGGGACAGCTAGTTATATATATATATCTGATATACTAGCTGACCCGCGCTACTTCGTCTGCATCAGACTTATCATTATATCGCCCAGTTTACATATCTTTTTAAATTATAGCCTATATGTTATTCTGATATACAAGCTCTTCTTCTTAGTCGGTACACTCTTGTCAGAGTGGTCGTGACGACCTATGAATGAGGTTTTTGGTAATACGGCGCCATTCGTCGCGAACTGTAGCTTTCCAGGTACATTCGTAAACTGAGCACTTAGTTGCGGCCTTGATCTGGTCTGTCCATCTCATTGGTGATCTACCACAGCTTTGATGTATAAGCTATGCTACAGTAAAGTTTCATCAAAATGCGTTCAATAGTTTTTGCATAAAAGAGTAACAAACTTCCATCTATACTCGTAAAGAACATTAAAACAAAAAATTAAAATAACATTTATAGTAGATATCTATACTAATTAATACAATTAGTTTGGAGTCCACCTTGGCCCTTCTTTCATCAGAATTGTAAGCGCAATCTTCTCCCGTTTAATGCAAAGAAAACATAACCTTCGAGTTTTGAGAGGTGTGATGAAAGAACTTGTCAATCTGGCAACACTGTCCTTTCTATATTTTGCCATTGTCACTGCATAAGTTTATACAATTTTGTAACATTTCATTTAAGTTTTGATGTAAAACTTTGAGGGTTATTTTACAAAGGTTTTCTAGAGAGATTTATCGGACGAACTTA